CAGGCAGGTACAGCTATTATCTTTCTGCTGCTATCAGCAATCAACCATTGAACTTATTAACAAAAGGCTTATTTCATCCTTCTCCAAGGATGGTTCATAGGGAGCTTTAGAGCTTACAAGTGCAAGCCATTGCTCCACCAGCTGAAGGTCTGAACCTTGCTGATGACTTCTGTTTTGAACTGACACGGGTCTATGGGAGATGTGCTCAGGGGGGCTTCTTGCAAGCAACACACAACTTCTTGTATTTGAAAATGTGTCTCCTCCAAAAATTTCCTCCCAAACTGAGACTCTGTAGGCAAGCGGAGGAGATGGAGTAAAAACTTTCACTGAGTTACCACTTCTGGATGTCCTGCCAGCCTGCCCTGGTTGCTGCAACTATGTGTTCAAAGGGTCAGCCAAAAATTAATCCAACTCTATGGCTGGAATTACAGGGAAGACAACTCTGAGGTTGGGATGAAGAGCATAAACAATTGCCTGTCAGGTGGCAAAGAGAGGTGGGAAGCCAGGATGCAGAATATGGTTTAGGGGAAATAATGTGATAGATGGCATTATCAGAAGTGGGTTTTTTTTAAAAGAAGAATATGACCTGTTTACAGAATAGCCTGGCAAAGTACATGACTTGACTCTCAGCCCCATTAAGCTCTCCTTGCACTCCTGTACCAGCATAATACAATTTGTACCTGCATTAAACTGATGTGATTTACTTTCCCTAATAAAGACATGCAAATTGATCAAACTTTTAAGGACAAAAATAAAACCATAAAACACTTTGCATTTTGTTTGATCTCTTTGGAAATCTGTTTGATCTGTTTGGAAACACATTTTGTTTGTGTATATTCAAAGAAAAGTGAAACATTTGCAATAGCAATTAAAAATACACATCAAATACCGAGATAAATGCTTTCGAACTTGGATCTATAATGTGCCTTTTTTCCTGAGTTCTAGTCTGCAAAAAAGTGGCCAGCTCTCCTGGATTAAATTTAATTTCTCAAGTAGATGAGGAAGCTTTCAGTTACACAAATTAGTTAAAACTCCATATTAAAAGAGCAGTAAGATTTCACAATTATCAACTCAAGATAGAAAATGTTTAAATTACTGTGTTGCCTTTGTAATTTAATGCATTTTTTAAGATGTAAAGTTAGTCATCCTGAAGTAAATTTATAGGAAAAAAAGAATGATCTAAAACCAGGGAATGGATTATATTTCCATATCACACAAATGACACAGTAGGTCTCTCAATCCAACATAAATGAGTTGTGTAGAAAAAAAAAAAAAAAAAAA